GTGCTTTTGGATTCAAAAAAACTATGTCGGCAAAAAATGCCGCCTGCTCTATGAGGAAATGCCCAGTATGCCTTTGTAGATAAAGATTATGACATATTGAGAGTCTTGAGGTTTGTGCCTGACTTTCTTGTCTCATGTGCTTGAGTATCAAGAGGTATGCACATTGTTTTAGATATTTCTTCCCTCATGCGCATACTTCAAGCAACTCAAGCGTATGAGACAAGAAAGTCAAGCACATACCTAAAGCGTTTTGCATGAGTAAGAAATTCATGTGCATGGAGACAAATCTTGAGGTATGTGGTTGCTCATGTGCTTGAGAAAAATAACTTCACCAGCTTCATCTATCAAGTGCACTTAGATTTAGAGACCTGTGCCGTTAAAAAATCCTCGACGGTGACGTCTATCTCAATAACATTTCTCCGCCTTTAGCGACGCCAGCAGAAATCTTTTTTAGATTTTCGTATGGTATCCTTCAATCAGTATTTAATACATGTACTTCGAACTCTTTCATACGTTTTAATTCTCTAAACTACTACTTAAATTGTTCATCGTTAGGCGCGAACCTACATTAGAAGTGGCGCCAATGCAATGATTTTTAAAAACGTTAATCAAAAAGTTTTTTTTTTCTGAATCTCCCTGTTTGAAGTATTATGATTAGTTATAGTAGGATTAATTCTCTAAGACTTTTTCTCTGAGAATATCTCTAAACAATATCTCTGAGCCTGCAAAAGTTCGTACTGTTCATATGAAACGAGGAAAAAGATTGTTGCTTTTGAAAAAAAACGATTATTTCTGATAAGATGTGAAAACTTAATTTATGCTTGAGTAAGGACTCAACAAGTGGAAAACACGAACTAATCAGTTTTCGTCTGCTTCGGTTAGTACTTAAGAGCGTTGATAGTGATGATTGCTGCCTTCCCTATACGAACCTTCAGACGTGCACTTCGTAAATATCTTTTTTCATAAGGTGTAGATATTTGTTAGTTGTTGATTTTTTCTTTTCATAGATTCAGTGTTCCAATACTCTTAGATCATTATAAAAACATAAAGATGATTAAGAGGGATAGGTATACGGTTACAAACAATTTGTAATATAGAGAGCATAGGCGTAAATACAGGATCTCACCATAAGATGCCTGTCAATGAAAAACAACGTTTTAAATGTGAGAAGGCTAAATGATATTATTCAGGCATAAAGCTCTAAAATCAGTAATTTTAATTGAAAATCTAGTCACAAAATAACAGAGGATACTATAACACTCACTCACCTTTTTTCCAACGTTTTGCGGTTGTCTCACGAGTACGTTAACTACTTCAACTTGTATTTGTTGTGCTCGACTGTCACGGGTTGCGTTATTCAACTGTTCTTGCAGCTAAAAGAAGAAAGAGGTTATTATACTCTAACTTAATGAGTCTACTTCTTACTATATTATGTAACACTTCATATCTTGATTGTGGTACTTGCCCACTAACAATCAATGAGTTATTGAATAAGGGCAGATTGTAAGTTATTTGAATAACATCACTTTCTTCTTAAAACAAAAGAAAATTCTCTCTGACTTACTAAAAGTTGTGAAATAAACTTACGTTGAATGCCATTGATATCACGTCTTTGTAAATACACAGGAATTAGGGCGATCACGATTACGCCTGCAGATATTAAACCGATGAGGCCCAAACAGCACAAAGCTAATAATGGTAGACCGCCAAGTCTAAACCATGAAACACACATGGATCGATGGATGTAAGAGAGGAAGAAGGGATATACCTTTTCGATGGACGTGGGTAGGCATGATACTCGTGCACTGTCTCCATTCGGAATTGTAGTTTTCCGGAGCAGAAGTACCAATTTCTATAATAAAGGACATAGGCGAGTAGCGTAGAGAACAGTTCCATAATGGGATCGCTTTTGTCACTTCGAGAGCAGTGGAAATGATAATTCTCTTAGAATGCATTTGAAAATAGAATTCGTTTACAATAACAGGTCGAAAAATTCTACAACGGATCCCAAAATCAGAAAAAATTCAGATTTTTCGTTCTATTTTTTCCACTGCAATCTAAATCAGCTTGATACATTAAGAAACTGAGATCATATAGCCAACTTTTTATGCTCTATCGAATGATTCAGTTTTAAATGAGAAAAAGGATGCGTTTTTAGTAAAACTCACATTTAAAAGATTTTCAGCAGTTTTTAGTGATATTTCCTAAATTTTGCTATTAAATTAGTCTTCTAACAGAAAACGAAGGTAGCAAGGCAAGCATTCGGAATGTGCGTAAAAGGTGAAGTCGATTGACATATATGTCATGTGTTTGCCTTGTTTTTGCACAAAAAAATTCCAGCTTTGGTACCCCTAGGAAACTTTCATATTTATATAATAAGTTATCATATCGACTCTCTATTCGATTTACAATTGAAACAGATAATTTTCAAACAGTGGGAGAATATATATTTTAAAACAGCAGCACGTTACTCTTGCACTGTAGGCGATTTGCCCAAGAAAGGTTGCACCCTGTATCCAACTTCGCATTAATTACCGGAGCAAATATCTGCCTCACCATAAAACAGAATTTGAATTTTGAATACTGTAGTGTAAAATACAATATATGCTCAGCTGAGCACATTCATTATTACATTAAAAACACCAAACGTTTTGCTTTATTACATATGGTACTCCATCTCTTCTCCTTCTTCTCTTTGCTGCTTAGAAAAATTTTGCTGGCATGCAGAAAATAATAATAATCAGATTTTCAATAATAATTTGTTTTCTTCCTCTTTTATATACACGTGCGCATCGATAAACATTTGGAACTTTACATTTCGGAGGAAAATTATTGTTATAGCAGAATCCTCTTTGAATAAATAAATATGTATATCTAGTATCTTTCTATCTGTTGCCTCGTGGAATTTATTTCTAATCAAATAACGCTAAAGAAGAAAGTATTAGCTTTTTCACTTTGCAGGATCTGTATTTAATTCCAACTTTGCGTTTCCTTAAAATTACTTTTTATTTACTATGAAACAGAGCCGCAGAATATTTTTCATTCTAGATTCATCCACAATCCAATATTTTCTCCTATTTTTCCTGTGTTAAAATATTTTCGGAACTCACAAACACAGTGCCAAAGTCTTACTTAATATTTTCTTGAAAGTATGTTTAATATATTAAAGACATAGAAACTCACTCACCAAATAGCAAAATATCTTACTAGCACAAAAGTTTTAGATCCGCAAAATGTAGATAATTCAACGTTTAAGTAATTAGGTTTTAGTTTTTAAACAGTAGCAACATGCAGTTTCCATTCAATCAACGCAAAATAAGTGCTTTCTAACATGCAAAATAATTTATTATATAAATAATTTATTATAATACAAAATGTCAAAAAAAACCCAAACTGCAGGTTGCAGTTTCCTAAAACGAAAATATCAGAAGTACATCTTGATCATTATGCGAGTCTCGAAAAAATCTGAGGAAAAAAATATTTTCGTAGGAAGGGACCACAGTCATCAAAATCCCATATCGTACTTTTATCAAACTAAGCTGGGTTTGCTCGCCTATGCAATTTAAACAAAAAGAGATGGTATTTGAGTACTCAAACTTTCTAATATATTTTCAGTTTATGTAGGCTTTCATCCACAAAGCTTCCATACTTCAACTTCATCTTTTATTTTTAAAAAGTTTCTTAATTTTGTGGCATTTTGAACTAATCTGCGAAACTAAAATACACCTGTGCTGATTGAAATGAACTAAAATCAACTTAAAACTCATTTCAGATATACGGGAGCTACGGAAAGAAGAAACTCGTGTATCATAAACTCAAAATCATAAAAGATAAAACAGTTTATTTGAGGAAACTTCGAGTTATGCCTAATAAAAAATAAAAATATTATCTTAAAGACGGCTTAGAGAAAACCCACAAAAAATCAATTTCATGCTGTTCGAAAATCAGGAACCTATCTGATATTCAGTAAACCGACTCTCTATTAGGTTCAATTGAAATAGATAATTTACAAATAAAGAGTATTACTAGAAAACGCGAACATCCCTAAATTAAAATCTGATTTAACCAACCGGTAGAGCTCATCGAACTGGGTATAGAAACATCTAACGAATACCAAAAAACTGTGCCAAATTCATCTCCTCGTTGTTCTGAGCCTACTAGTACTATCTTCAGCCTGAACAAAATATCTTTAAAGATTTTTGAAAAATTCACTCCTTCAGATGAGATACCTACAATTAAACGCCGTTTTTGGACTTCACAGCAAAGATATCTAGACATATTATATATCATAAGGAAGCCCGTGAGCTTCTCTACAAAAGTATTATTTAGGAATTATTTAAAAGTTTTTTATTCAATTGCGATTGATCTTTTCAATTACAGGCTGTGTCAGATCTAAGAAGACTAAAGCGTGTACTAAAGGAATGCCCATAGACATTCGCCATATTGGCGATTGGCGAATATTCGCCATTAGTGACACCCCGTTCGCCCACACCCCTAAACTATTGACGACATTCGCCAATACCTATATTCACTTGCTGGTCTGTATTAAATGTTTAAAAATAACAGACAATCACTTCGCGCGCGAATTAATATCTTCTCTCGTCTCCTTCCTTTGTTAAATAACCTTTGATTTGTGCTTAATTTTTTCATACTGCACATGACGTTGTTGTTTTCTCCAAAATGATTTTGTTACGATTACTCTTTCAAAAGTGTGTGTATATGCGCATTTTTCTGCCCTAAATAGTTCCTAATATCAAGATTTATCGTACCTCAACTTTCATATGTGTGATTTTCAAAATTTAAATGGTTTTTTTTTTGCGATAAATTATCCTGTGTTTAGTGACTAAGCGTGCGCTAATTCTGTCTTGAATACGAGCCAAAAGTTGTGTCATCAAAGCTTTTTATTTTTATATCAATTTTTAATAAAATAAACAAAAGATAAAAGCCTATTTTTATTAGTTATTATTGTTACATTTGCCATACTTTTGTTGTTACTGATGTATCGATCTCACTCTCTTTCTCTCTGACTCACTTCATTCCATTTTACATTTCCGGATCGATGTTACCTACTCCTTTGGAGTGGAAAGGTGTCACGAACCCAAACATTTCGTCTTCTGTTTCATGCACATGTCAGTATACGACATCATTTCTCTTTTGAATACTCCTCCCTTGCCTACAAATTCTCATTCATATTCTAGGAAAACGGACAGTTCTTTATTCGCATATTTAGTAATACCTCTTTCGTTAGAGTTATTGGCGAATATTCAGCGGATATTCGCGGTTTGATGAATATACATCTATTGGCGAACGTCGACAAATCCCTCAGAAATCTCAAATCATAATTTCATCAAATCAAGTAAAATATCATTTATAAAAATACTGATTTTCTATTTGTATTTTCCCGATTATCTGATAGATCTGGGACGTTAATGATGGATTAGACCATTGAACATGATAAAAAACCTGATAGTACACTTTTAATCTACAGACTACTCACTTGAGTACCCTAACAATAAAACTAGAATATGGCGTTTGTTCGTGTTGTTTAAAATTCAATGCGGTGATTAGTGAATACGGTATGCTAGTTCGGCTGAATAATTTATATAGGTAGCAAAAGAAAGGATAGAGAGAGTGATAAAGGTCCACTTATTTTCTGCATAACAGGGAGAGAGAGACACTGAATTAGAGCCTATACAAAAGCAAATACATGAAAATAGTATGTCTTATACTAGTCTTTCTTGATTCTCTTTTATCTGATAGATATGAATAGCGAGAGAGCACAGCTACACTGTTTATGTATTGCACTACTGGTCATGAAGAAAATAAAATATTACGGAAAAACAGCATGTGCATAGCACAAACCTTAACGTACCGGACCGAGTTTTGTTGTGCCTTTTTCTCTGTTTTAAACTCATTTCAGCATAACTTTAAACAACATCCATTCTCAAGTAGGGTGTCCTTCTCTACAGTGTAAACTTGATAATAAGTTGTAGTAAATAAAAAACGGTTTCAGTTTGTCTATATACGAATTCAGCAGCGTTTTTCTTCTATTTTCGAAACGTGCTTTTGAAGAATATTATAGTTTTCTTAAACCGATGCAACTTTTCTGAAAATCAATTCAAATATTCTGGAAGATCGTGGTTGATTTTTCAGAAAATAAAAAGCGATACGCTAGAAAATCAATCGATTTTGCATAAAATCAACAACGCTTTTTCAACTTGAAAATTCCCGGCGAATTCGTAAGTGGACAAATTGAAACTGAAAAGTGCAATGTGTTCTTAAAGAAATTGAAAATCTAGCACGAACTTTTACAATTCTTCAGCGTCCTTCTCATTTAATTTTCTCTTCCTTCTCCTTATTTGGACCAAAACCGATTTACAATAGGCTGGGGGAATTCCGGACAGCACCTCTAATTTTCACAGCAATTTGATCGTGCCTCAAGCATTTTTACTCTGGAATAAACGACAGTTCCGAATTGCACAGACTACTGAATACGGTTTGTTAGCTCGGCTGCATAATCTATGTAGGTAACAAAACAAGGGATAGAGGGAGAGATAAAGGCATTCTGGAGTGCTTTTACACCGGAATATTTTGGTACCTTTCATGCCCCTTGTGACTAGTGTTAAGTCGACTGCAGTTGCGTGAAAAAGCACTATAGAATGCCGGAAGAAGTCTTGTTTTGCTCAGAACTTTTCGCTCTATCAGGCTATATGGCAGTGTGGAGACATATCCCGATTGAGATATCAAGAAAATCTATATCCCAATCAGGATATCAAGAATTTTAATTTTTAATTTGTTAGAAAATGATAAATTTT